AAAGATGAAAGGAAAAAGAAGTGCAAAATCTGAGAAGCCCCATAATCTTATATTTGAGTCGGAAAATAGTTGTATAACCTCGGATTTTGTTTTAAAACTTCATTCTTTTTCTCTGAAAAATATATCTTTTACAGTTCCATTGGGGGAAAAAGCTAGAAGTAAAAAACCCAGAAAACAAAAACCCATCAAAAAAATGAAGAAACATCGAAAGTGACACCCTGCTGCCAAAACATGGTCTCTAAAGTATCCCCAGGTCTTTCTCTGGAAAGGGGCCTCTCTGGGGTGGCCTAGTGGGTAAAAAGTTTCACTGTCAACCCAAAGGCAGGAAGTTCAAATTCACAAGCTGCTTTTTGAGAGAAAGATAAGCAATCTCCTCCCTTATGATTTACAGCCCTGGTCAAATATGAGTCCATTCGAGCTCTACAGAAATGAGGTGAACTATTTTGGAGAGATGGCGGAGTCTAGTTCTGAGGCAGGAAACACACAGGGGAGCACTCACCACCATGGTGCCTAAAAGGCATCAAAGCAGTTGTCAAAATACTACACAGCAGGCAATGTGAAGGGTTTCCTCTGGTCAAAGATGAGTATCAAAAAGCAAGGACAACAGACAGAAAACCTCAAGTCCCCACTGGTCAGCATTGTTAGTTTTGAAGGTACTCACTCATCTTTATGAAAACTAAAAGAGGGAAGGAGTGGGAGCAGAGGAGTGAGGGTGGGCAGGAAGGAAATCACAGGGTCACACAGAGTCGAGGAAGGAGGTAAAGGAAATGGGATAGATCCAGCAGGAACCTGAAAAGGTAAGAGTAACGATACGCATAATTCAACAGGGATTAATTTTATAAAACACAATGTATGAGAATAATTGTATGAAACATAAGGTGAATGAAGGAAAGTGTAAAACACAATGTATATGAATTTTGTTACGTAAACCAATATAATTTTTTTAAAAAAAAAGCCAACAAACCTAATTAAAAGAGACAATAGTCAACTGTTTGCTCTCCCTTTTCAGTTTAAACAGTACTTCAAGGTAATCAAATAGATATGGCAAATCCCTCTATAAAAGTTTGGCTAATAAATATAGAAAGGACAGAATACTTGAGTATACTATTTTGAAACATATTTGATGGCCTACTCATTTGATGAGTATGCGAAGGCCTGCTATTTCAGAAGTGGATGTTTAATCCTTTTTCCTAGTCTGTCTTAATTTGAATGCTCAGATTTAGAACAGTATCTGACAGACATGAATTTTACAGAAAAGAGCAGATACAGTGCAAATCATCATTACAGTAATATGCACCCTCACCCCAAACCTTCACCAACCCTGGTTTTTAGCCAGGCCCACATGCCTTTGCAACTCTGTCAAACTGTGTCAAACTGTAGAAAGCCTGCCAGAACTGTAAAGACCAAAGGACTGCAGCAAGTGATAGTACTTACAGAGCTTGAATAGAGGCTAAAAATTCAGCACAGCAAACAGCAAGAAAACCCCCCTAGGGACAGTGCCCAATTCCCCATTTCCTTTCTTTCGGGACTCTCACAGTGAGTGAGAGACGAAGCCAGTGGAGCTGGAGATATTTTTGCACCTCCAAGGAAATGGGGAGATCCTGGGACAGGGCACAACACCGGACTCCAGCTGGTTCCCATGTGTGCCTTTACGTCAAGCATCCACAGCAGCCTCTGGAAGGGGTGGAGGGTAAGGATCTTTCTCAAATGGCACGTCGGAGTCTTCCCACGCACCTAGAATTTGTCACAATACCCACTGTAACTTACTTGGCGTGCTTTCTGAACCAGAGAGGGATCCACTACTATCCAGAAACCACCCACCGCACCCCGCTTTCCTCAACGGAGCCTGGTGCATTGTACACACACAAATATTTGTTGACTGACTGGCTGTGACACGAATGGATATGCTGAGTCAGTATACCCCTCCAGAGACTCCACGAGGACCCTGCACCACCTAGGTACCCGCCTCCTCGCTATCAGATGTTGCTCTCCTGCCACAAAAGGTGGACACTCACCTGGGCAGGACTTTCTGGGCACCTCACCTGTCCCACCATTAAGCAAAAATGGGGGAAGGACAGATGCCAGTGTTCTGTTCCTTGATCTCTGGAGTCTAGTGGGGTAGATCCAGGGGAACAAGGAACAGAAGCATAACAGAAGCAAGGCCCTTCCTCCAGAGACTTACCGTGAGCTAGTATCCTGAATTTGGACTACTAGCTTCTGAACTGTGAGAAAATTAAGTTGTCCCCTACTTGTGGTATTTCTGTGAAAGCAGCATTAGATAATGAAAACAGCTTAGTGGTACTGCTGGAAATAAATGACAGGCCTTTCTTTAAGCAATTCTCATAAAAATAAATGCAACATCACAATAAAAATGTAGAAAAATAAATAAAACAAAATTGACAATGAGTAGTAACCACTGAAGCTGGGCAAAAGGGCTCATTATATAATTCTGTGCATTCCAAATATTACTTTTTCTTTCTAAATGTATTACTTTTTATGACTTTTCATGATAAAATGCACTTGGCTGATAACTAAAATGTTAAGTCAAAGTCGGCCCATAAGCATCTTGGAAAACACATCCACTATTAAAAACCCCGCAGAGGGCAGTTTTCTTAATACACTTGGAGTATTCAGAAGTGTCAACTGACTTGACCACTGTTTACAGAGAATCACTGTGAAATACATATTTTTTTAACTTGGGTAGGGCTGAGCAATGATGTCACTCTGGAGACTAAGGTGCGCCTGATACAGGACATGGTCTTTCCAATCACTTGCTAGGCGTCAGAGAGCTGGACAATGACTAGGGATGACAGAATTGATGCTTTTGCGCTGTGGTGTTGGAGAATATACCATGAACTGCTAAGAAAATGAAGTTTCATTCTAGAGAGGGTTAAACCAGGCTGCTCCTTGGAGACAAAGATTCTGAAGCTTCATCTGACAGTTTGGACATGTTGAAAGGAGGGGTCAGTCCTTGGAAAGGGATATCATGCTTGGGAGGGTGGAGGGATAGTGCAGGAGAGGAAGACCCTCTATGAGGTGAATTGATTCAGTGACTGGGGCAATGGGGGTAAGTGTGTCATAGACAGTGGGCACAGGATAAAGCAGGGTTTAGGGCTGTTGTACATAGGGTTGCTTTGAGTTGCAGGTGACTCGATGACACATAACAACAACAGGGCTTGTTGGTTTTAATAGGTAGCCATATGGTTAAGGATCTAGAACCTGAATGAGTTGAAGACTTAGCAGAGGTGGGGAAAGTGAAGGAATGTTCTTGCTCTAGGCACACCTTTCTCAGATTCACATGTGGACCAAAGAGGCTTCTGGGAAGATGGGGTACAGAATCTAACAGTTCAGCAGAGGTAACATGGTTCAGAGTGGGAGTATTAAAAAAAAGAAAGTGGGAGTATCCCTAAGGGAGCTCTGGTGGCCTAGTGGCAATAAGTTGTGCTGCAATCCCGAAGGTTCTTGGTTTGAATCCAACAGATGCTCCACTGGAGAAGGATGGGCAGTCTCCCTCTGTGCCAGCTGGATCCAACTGATAGTGTACAAGGAGAAAAAAAAAACCACCACCACACACCCTAACTAGACATGGGAGTATCCCCAACTGAGACCAACTGACAGACTACTACAAGACCTCAAGGGAACATATTCAAAGCAACTGAAGAGGATCGAAGAAGGGGGAAGAGAGCAGAGAGGTGAGTATGGGTAGAGGGTTAACCATAGGGTCACACAACTTAATGGGTAGAGGGAGGGGTAGGTAAAAGAAATGGGAAAGATATGGTGTGAAAAACAATGTATATGAACTTTGTAAGTAAACTAGTATAAACTTTTATAAAGTTTATTTACTAAAAAAAAAAGCTAACTAAAGAGGGAGGCCCCACCTGGGCCCAGAGTCCAGTCTGTCTTTAGGGAAGGGAAAGCCTGCAGCTTCTCCTCAGAGAACTAGTCCCTCAAAGGGTCAGCTGCCTCAAGCCTCTTTTTGAAGAGGTTGGTAGCCCAGACTGCCCCCTTTCAGGCTGACTAGTAAACTGTGGGCTCCGGGATTGATTGTGGGGAGGGCGCTTCCACAGCACACCAGTCAGCAGGATGGGAACTTACCCAAGGCATTTGACTCTGGAATGTGACCTCATGTGATCCCAAGTAGCTGAAGGGAATAAGTCAGGCCAAGTGCTCCAGGTTGTGGGACAGAAGGGGGATGAAGGCTCACCTCAATCTCAAGAGCTCTGTTCTAGGAAAGTGGCATGACTGTGGTGTGGGTGTGACCTGACACTGAACTCTTCATAAAGGGCAGGCTTATGGCCAGCAGGGGAACACGTGTGCACCTGTGGTTTCACACTGGGAATCCATGAGACAACAGTTTTAATCAGAGAACCTCTCAGAAGCTCATCCATTTTTAGACGTGTGGGATGAAACAGGGAAGAATGTCTCTCTGGTGGAAGTAGGACTAGGGGTTACCCCTGGCTTTCTCACCCTGCCTGCCTCCAGGACTCTCCAGCACTGCCCAGCATGAAGTCAGTGAGCACAAGTCACAAAAACCGATGATGGCCCCACTGGGGCCCAAGGTCCCGAAGAAACTCCGTCTGCCTATAACATCCCCACTCAGACACTCAAGACTTTATAGAAAAACGTATTTAATAAGGACAATTCCAGCTGAGTCTGGTCCTTCCCAATACTATCTCCAACCGTTGAGAACAAACTTAAAAGACAGTGTTGGGCCATGTGTGACCATGGATCATGTTCCTAGTCACAAGGCCCAGGCCAAGGACACCCCCTTCCCAAGTTGCATCATCTTCACCTAGAGCTTTTGCTGGGCTCAACCAGAGAAAGGTGATGAGTGCCAGCTCAACCTGCTGGAAAACAAGTTTTGAGCCAGAGCATAACCTTCAGGGGACATGCCCCATCAACCAGGGTCAGAAGGCAACACCCAGCATCACGTCATTGTCAGGACCAGCGTCAGCTGTGCCCACTGCTAGGATCCCAGGGACCTCCCAAGGTCATTTTGGCTACTGTGAGGCAGTAGGGGGCTCAGCCCTGACATTCTGAGGCCTGAACACCAGACTTGCCTCCAGACCAGGGCTTCTCACACATAAGTCTAGAATCTCTGTCTCCATCTCATTTTCACTCCCATCTGAAGGCTTGAACTCCTCTTCCTCCTCTTCATCATCCTCCTCATCTTCTGCAAACTCATATGGCAGCTGCTCTTTCCCTTCATCAGCTTTG